TTGAATTGGGTTTGTTTGCCATTATTGTTTTCTATCATCATGATGCAACATACAGAACAAAAAGTTAGTATTGGCTTGAGTAGATATTCCCTTTTGGTGCCCTCCAGAGGTATAAGATTGCTATTGTCCTTATTAACAGACCTGCCCAGGCAGTTTAAAAAGATCCTGTAAAATATACAGAGTGTATATGAGTCACTTCTATCTAATCTTTAAGCAAGTTTAATTGTTTGCAGGACTTTTGCAGCTGCTTCAAATGTTCTTCTTGGCTGCCTCTATACAGCATGTATGTATGTGTCTATATGGAGGGATTTACTTAGCAAATGTGATAAGGATGATGGGATATATACTGAAACTTAGCTGGATGGCTTAGCTAGCTAGAATAAACTGCTCTACAATACTAGGATCATGAGACCTCAATTTGTGTCTCGATTCCATCAGGACATTTAGGGAGTGATGAGAAGCAGTTTCTCTTTCTTTCAGAGACAACCATCTATATAAATATGATTTCTGTAATAGAGTTGTCAAAGACTGGAATGCTCTACCTGATCCAGCTGTCTCAGCTACACATTTTCATAGTTTCAGTCACAAATTGACTTCCATGGACCTTACTTCATACTTAAATGGTCAGTAGAGGGGGCGTGCATAAGTGCACTAACATGCCTATCATCCCTGTCATTGTATTTTTCTTTTATTCTTGTTCTCGTTTTTGTTTGACAAATTCAAAGAAAGAAAGAAAGAAAGAAAGAAAGAAAGAAAGAAAGAAAGAAAGAAAGAAAGAAAGAAAGAAAGAAAGAAAGATCAATTGTTTTCTGGGGGGGGAAAGTGGGATAAAAAAATAAATCAATGTAACAAATTTGGCTATAGGAGTTAGTGGGGCGATCATCCATTTCTTTGGGCCAATGCAGTGTGGCTAAGAATCTAATCTAAAAAAGGTGATGAAGAGCAAAATAGAAGACTGTATATTCTGCAGGACTACTAGGATATAAACAATAGAAGCAGGGAAAGCAAGTATGGTGTAATGTTAAACTGCAAACTAGGAGTAAAGAGTCTCAGATCCTAGTTAAATCTCAACCACCAAAACTCATTGTGAATACTGTTGTTATTGTAATCTTTCTATATTTGTGTTATGTGTACGTTTCTCAGATTTTCCTATCAACTTTCAGGGCAGTTTAGGACTAAAACTTAGAACTACATTAATAGTTTAGTCTTGACTCATCCATAAAGGACTACCACGAAAACACTAATTGTTCAGACTGAAAAGCCATGGCATAAAGCATGCCAACTCATCTCCTTGAATCATGAGGCCTCTGACACTTTGACAAACTTAGAGGACTAGGTTCTTGGTTCAAAAGTGTCTTCAAAACTGTAGTGCCAGCCTGCTCAAGCACTATCAACGGATTCTCATTGTGCAATATTGATTAGACTAAATGAGAGTTGGACTACATGACTTCTAAGATCCCTTCTAACATTATGATTCTTGGATTACAAAGCTATTTTGGACTATGGCCTCTTCCTGACTTTGACCCTGCACTTGATGCAGAGAAGTGATGATAGACAAAGGAGCTTGGTCTGTTCATCTTTGAGAGGAACAACTGAGGAGGAATGTGGCAGTACTCTTTAAGTACTCAAAATAATATCATAAGGTATGTGACTGTCTCTGCTGCCTCAAAGTGCAAGGTGTGAAATAATGGTTTTCAATTATGGCAGAGTAGGTTTTCATTGAACATTAAGAGCACTTTCTAAAAGTAAGAACAATCTGATATGAGATCAATCATTGGAGAGCACTGGCAATTTCTCCTCTCTGGATATTTTAATATGAAGTCCTGAGAGCCATCTACAAGGGATAATTGGATTCTTACACTAAGGAAGGATTTGATTTGATGGTAATTCCTTTCAACTGTATTTTTATTCTTATTTGTATTTGTATTCTTTCTGTATTTCTATTGGCCATTCCCCATGGTTACACTAATGAGCTTTCCCCTTCATTCTTAAATTGGGCTATAGCAATATTCAACCTCACCTCTCACATCTTTCACAGAGGAGGCTGCACAGTGTGGCTGCCCTTCCCAAGCTTAATAAGAGGAAGTTTCAGGACAGTTGGAGGATCCCCCCATCAATCTTTTGTGTTTTGCCCAGCATCATCTACCAATCGGAATACCAGCAATCAATTGTTCTCCTGAATATATGGTAGGGTGGTTAGCGGTTCAAGTTTTAACTGTTATTATTTATTTATCTTTAGTGTCTGATTATTTACTCTGTGTTTCTTCTGACCAGGACTATTGATCTTCCTGAAATAGTTTTGTCAGAGTGCTAGAAGACTGATACATTTCTATCAAACAACCCCCATTCCCCAAAGCCTTCTTAAGAGATCGGGAGAGCTGAATTGAAATTCAAAGTAGAGAATTCTGAGTCAGAGGGCTTTCAGCATTGTTAAATCTTACTTTACTTTTACCCTCCTGAAGCTAATTTCCTCTGAGAATTGTTTGTGGTCACGTAAAAAGTTCTTCCTTCTTCCACTTCCATTCCACATTGGTGTATGCGCGACTATATCTCACCCACTTCTATTTTGTGTACTCCACAGCACACAAGTAACACCCACATGAACCAATTCCTGGGTGTTATATCTCCTGAACTCCCAAGAGTGTGATAGACCAGTGTAAACAGAAAAACAACAGTAGCCAATCTTTCTTGTAGCAAAAGCCGAACTGGCTACGGAGGTGCCATACATAGGAGGAGAGGGCAAGCACTTCTGCCATAGGCTTGCCAGGCAAAATGGAAATGAGCAAACTGATGTCCTACATTGTCCACATGGGGAAAATAATATCACTGTTTCAGCAGTGGGGTGAGAATGACACGAAGTCAACATCATGAGGACCTGTCCTCAAAAACACTTAGCAAAATATCTTCCAAAATGTCTTGTGGTAAACGGCCCTATGAGTCAACACTGCTACCTTAGACATCCACCTGTCCTTAACCATCACCTATCTGTACTTCCTCTGATGCCAATTTGCTCTTCCAGGGACTCAATTATCTCTACTGGATCATTGAGAATCACATTCCTTCTTTAAGCAAGACAAGTACTCGTTTCCAAATTACTGGGAAGATATTAAACAGAGATCGATTGTAGCTCCTTGAAAATTAAACACTTAAGTAATTAGGAGAGGAACAAAGATTCTCCCTACTTGACCAGGAACTTCATAAATTCCCCAATGCATAGAAAAATTGGGCTGTTATAACACAGGTCATAAGTCAGCCTTTCCAACCAGGTATCTCCAGAGGTGTTGCATTTTCAAAATCACCAACCTGCATTTTTATATAGTGCTAGGTTGGCGAAAACTGGCTTTAAAAAGCAGAGGGCTGTTTATGTGTGTGATAAAGTTTTACAAACTTCTAAATGCACCAAAGAAATCAGGCCAGATTTCTTCCAAGCCAGTTTTCAAAAAGTTCCTCTTAACCTGTATGAAAAAGTATTTTCTAGGAAAAAATTACCCACAAACATGTGATTAAAATATATCTAAATGAAATTAATCAGTAATGAAATAAGCTCTGTGCTGATGGAGAATAATGAAGATAGGTGAATGAACTATAATTAAGTTCTAATCTGAACAGCTGGCTTCATATTTTTCAAGTGAGAATGTACCCAGTTTAATTTCTGGTAACAAGCTGGTTTTTGCTGAAAGCATTAGTGACATCTTTGTGAGAAATGCACTTTAATGATAAACAAGAAAAAGGAAGATGGGGAGTCTCACGGTAAACTAATCATGATATTTATGTTGTGTGTATTCATGCACGCACACCCACGCACAAACATACACACAGGTGTAGCAATTAAATATCGAGTCCTCCAACATGTAACAGCATATTTTTGTAAAGGTTGGTCAAACACCAACAAAAAAAATCTTTTAACATGGTTTTGAAAGCCAAAGCTTCAAGGACAACACTGTGGAATTTAAAAGGAGAACCTGTTACAAGAAGCACAACTCTAATTTTCTTGCTTGTTCTCAACATCTAGGACAAAGGCTTTTTCAGGTTCTTTAAGAATTTTACACACAATGAAGCATTATGATAGACATAATGTGTGTTAATATCTTGCTTAACCACAATGTGGTTGAAGTGGAACAGCTACAGCCCAATGGGGGTATCTGGTGTGAGCTACAATATGCCTTACAGGCCCCAAATCCTCCAATCTTATCCTTCTATATCCGCTGTCTTCCCATCACCACACTTCATGCTGCTTTATCATGGCTTTCTTGCCACTGATATACTGCACATCTTGATTCGTCTGCTTCTCTCATCTCTTCTCTGGTTGTAAGTCAAGAATTACCTGTATTTAATTTATTCTTTATTCTTTATGTCATTGTATTTCAAATATTGTTATATTTTTCCTCTTTGTTACCTTGGTGTTTTATTTCCTATCCCCATTCTACCTCCTTTTCTGTATCACTGCATTTCTTGTTTCCTTTGTATAACTAACTTGACTCTGGTTCCTTTCTTTCTCCCATCATCTCTATAAGCCTCTACCATAGCATTTTTCAATATTAAGATGTGAGGGAGAGGAAGTCCAGCCATCTTAAGGTTGCCAAGGTTGAAAAATACTGCTATACCATTACACAGAGCAATCAGCAGTCTTGTGGTTTCCCCAGAGAAAAGGAAGAGCTGACCATAGATTGAACATCTTAACTTCTTACCTTTAAACCAGAATCAGAACTTCTTAAACATGTTGCAGCTACAATGTATAAAACAGTTTCACATAACAGAATGCTTATTCACATCAAAAACTCCCTGCCCATAAAACGATTTTAACAATAATTTAGCCTACAGAAGACAACGTCTCCAAATTACCTTACCAAAATTGCAATTATTTTTTTTTAAATTAGCAGAATATTCCAGTTAGTAAGAAGATGGTATTGTATTTCCAACCCCCAAATACTATTAGGTTTTTGGTATTTCTTTTATATATTAACCACATTTTAGTGCTAACTACTTAAGAGTATTAGTACCTGTTTCAATATCTGTTAAATGAAGCATAAAATCAAAGCCTCCACTCAGTGCATTTCTTCCACAGGGAGACCACTGAATAGCTCGGACAGCACCGGTATGGATAAAGTATGATTTCAAGCAGCGTCCTTCATCCACAGCATCCCAAACCTGAAATATATATATATATACATTTCTAAAAAAATATAAAATAACTAAATAACTTATTTTAGGGTCAGCAGGAAGCAGTACTGATTTCTACTGAACTATTTTCAATGAGTAACCAGAATGTCATCATAAAATAATATTTATTTATTTATTTATATAATTTTTAAAAATTACATTTCAGTACATGACAAAATGAGATAATTTGAACAAGAGAGCTAGTTTGGTGTGGTGGTTAAGGCATAAAGGTAGGAACCAGGAGACTGTGAGTTCTAGTCCCATCTTAAGCACAAAGCCAGCTGGGTGATCTTGTGCTAGTCACTTTCTTTCAGCTCTAGGAAGGAGGCAATGGCAAACCAGTTCTGAAAAACCTTGCCAAGAAAAATGCAGGGACTTGCCCAGGCAGTCTCCAAGAATCAGACATGACCTGAATAGAAGAAAAAAAAATCAAACAGAACTTCCAAATACGTTAAATATACCAATAATACAGAATATTACAATGCACAGATCTTTTTAAATTAATAAATATTTGACCACAGAGTACTCTGCATTAAGAAAGGTATATGAATTGTTGTCTTCAGCATATTCAGTAAATCTATAAACATGTTCATTCATTCCTTCTTTTCTAATCTGCTACAGAGATTTGTTCTGTTTCTAGCACTTTTAGGTTAAAAAATAATTGTCTAAAATGAGGACATTCACTTACATGTGTTGGTTAGAGAAAGTCTACTGTACTGTACTGACACATATTCCAAAGCACTGAAATACTGAGTGCCCTTTATTTCAGTGAGTATAAAGAATACAATACTATACTCTTTGAAGTTGACATCTAACTCTTTTTCTTATTTGCAGAACAAAATGCTTGAAAGAGTAGGGCATATTCCCATGAGGCCAATCTGCCATAAAAGACACATTTCTATATTGACTTAACAGAAAAATCCAATGTTTTCCAAATGTATCAAACAATGTATCTCATGATCTCAGACATTTTGACTGGAGATGGCTCCACAAATTTGTAAGTAATTAGCTTGGCCAAGGCTGAACTGATTAATACAAGAAAACAAGGATAATTGTTTTAATAGCCAGGGAAAATTAGATAGATTTAATTTCCACAAAATTTGACTAGACATTAGAAATTGCAACCTATAATTATACTTTTGGTTTCAGAATAATCAAGTTTTTTCATTAATCAAAAGCTATCAGCTTTGTATTCATCATTTTAATAAGAAATGTATCTACAAAATTTATCAGAAAAGTAATATCCTGTTAAAAGGCTAGTACATAGGTCTCTTTATGAGACATTATATTGATTTCCTTTTTTGTATTAAGCATAATGCTAATAACCTGTGGCAGTAAAAATGATGAAAATAACATTCCTGATTACTATCATTTACTTTGCTTTAAAACTTTTGGTTATTTAGTTTTCAAGCTGCACACTATAATTAATTTTTCAGGCAATTTTAATCTTCAGAATTAGAACTACTATTAAATTAATATTCGAATAGATATGAGTTGATATGGATCATCATGATTTCAACATTCTTGAATTATTATTTTAAAGCAATTTCTGTTAGCTGTAGGGAGAGGGTGAAGTTAAAGCATTGATGGCAAAGTATGGTAATTTCAGAATCAGACCTTATGTCAAAAAACATGTTTGTAGTATTTGGAACAAGCCATAAATACTACATTGGGCAAAGAATAAATGTTCGAATAGGCCTTGGTTGGTTGAAATATATTGATTCAGTGTAACCACAATAGGAGCTCATCACCACACGGTAACTTCATTTTTGGCATGTTAACAGACATGCCTTTATTTAATAGTCTTTTTATTAGTCCTCAAAAACAAAATGCTCTGCAGGGCAATGAATTACAATAGTCTCTGAGAATATATTTGAGTAAGTTCTACTGTCAAAATAGTTTATTTCATCTTATTTGCAGAGAAGCTGTAAACGCTCTTGGAAATAACACTTTTAGAAAGATTGGGTGAGTCTGCCACATTTCACTAGACTAATAAAGAGTAAATCATATCCAGGTGCAATGTGAGAGGGCATCCCCTTTTCAGAAAACAGCTGCTTGAAGAAAATGGAAAAGACAGGTTGTAAATTACTTAAAAGCTCCTCTCTGATGTTTAAATGATCAACTATGAATAGACAATGTCCCTAACAAACTTCAAGCGGCGCATTTTCTCCTTCTTTGGAAGAAGCAAACAAGCATCTCATTAAAGGGCTTACTCTATATTTTGCTAAATGTGGGTTTATCATTAAGAGTTGAGATATGGAATGTTTGTTTGAAAGGGATATGTGGTTTCTTGGTGCTCTCCCAGCTCAGTAGTTTTCTTGCAACTGTTTCATTACCAAACTAGGTAACAACATCAGTGCTAATAGGCAATGGAGTCTGCTCTTATTTTACTAGTGGCTTTCCCTTTCAGTATTGGTGGAAGTGGTCTTGACGATTCCTTGACTGGACTGTTGTTTATTGTTAGCTTGTTTGATAGTTCCTTGATGGGGTATTGCTTGCTTCTTAATTGTTGGCCTATGCAAGGATGTCAAACTCGATTTCATTGAGAGCCGCATCAAGGTTGTGTTTGACCTCGGGGGCTGGGTGGGCGTGGCCAGCTCGACATCACTCATGTCAGGGCCACCCCTCCCAGGCTCTGTTTTCGGCTGCGATGGCCTCCTGCAGTGATCTGCCAGCGAAAACAGAGCTCTGTTATTGCTGGCAGAGGCACCATGGGCCGGTCCCTCGCTGTTTACAGGGTGGTCCTGTGGGCCAGATCTAAGCACCCTGCGGGATGGATCTGGCCTGTGGGCCTTGAGTTTGACACCCCTGGTCTAATGATAATGGGAATGGGATATGTTGTTATTTGGGGTTGTTCTCTTCGGAATGTTGAGCATTTGGAATGGAATGGGTTCTATGTTGGGTTTGCTTACAGTTAACATGTTGTTTAAACTTTTTTCCCCCTTAGTAAAGGATATTTGTGAATTTGTTTTTTTATAAATGGTCCCTCTTTGTCATGTTAAACTTCTGGTTTTTGTTTACACTAGGATATTGGGACCATTTTATGCCTTTTAAATGTAGTTTTGCTTACAGCTGAAAGTTGAAATGTAGAATATTGAGTTTTATATATGTTAATTAATGTTATTTTAGGCTCTGTTTGGACTTTTTGCTGACACCTGGTTAGAGAAGATATTACTTATTGGATTTGCCTAAAGTTAAGAGATGAGTTATGGGATGAAGAGATTTACATTTGGTAATTTAAAAAGGGTGAAGAGATTATGAAATTGTTTATACTTGTCATGCTGAGGATGGGAAGTTGCTTTTTAGAGTTCTTTTTCTTTTCTTTTTTGCAATTTTTTCATTTGTCTTTTTTAGCTTGCATTATCTTTTCCTATTACAGCTAAAACTTTTATTAAAAGTTATTAAAATATTATCTACTCCACTGAAGTTTTAGCTGTGACAGATTTTTTGTATTTTAATTTCTACTAAAACAAGTCCGCTCATATTTGATATGAAACCAAACCTCTAATGACAAACGGACAAAATTAGTGTGTTTTATATAATAAAGTTTAGAGTATATCTTTGATAAACATGCTGGAAAACTCCATCCTAGTACTTTTCTGGCTGTCTACGTTCCAGAACAACCCAACTCCAATTAAAAATCCAAGACAGGCATTTTCTCAAAGTTCCAATTTATTAGAGTAGGTATACTGGCACATCTGGGAAAACCCAAATCTAAGAGTTCCGGGTTTTCCCTCAGAAATTCAACATCGCAAATCCAGCCCCTGCACCCCTCAGTCCATCACATGGCCCAATCACCATCCGTCCCATCTTGAGCCACCACTTCAACCACTCCTCCTCCAGATGCAGTAACATCCTGACCTTGACCAAAAAGAAGAATGCTATTATGTTTAACTACAATCCCTCTACTAAATCCTCCCTCCTACTTTCCCAAGCACAAGAAGATGGCAACGTGGAAGCTTCCGGTGCTAAAATGGCTTCCAAAGCTGACACTGGCATTGTCCCCTATATAGCCTATATAGATAGCCCTGCTATATAAGAGAAATATCTTATATTTCTTAAATATTTTGGCTTTTTATCAAAATATTCATGGATTTAATTTTTTAAAAAGAAGGCAGGCCTTCACCGAAAAGCTATATACTGCAATATTGATAATTTGGACTGATGAGATCACAACAATATGTGCCTAGTTCTGGGATGCGCCTTCCCTGCAAACATTGTGATTAGTCTTATTCTAAAACTGCACTTTGAGCTACATAAAAGTACATTTGAGGTTTGATGCTGCTGGTTTTAAAAAAAGAGATTTAGCTGCTGCTCTTTCCTCTTGTCTATATTTAGGTTGATTATTGCTGTGTGAGTTCCAAGACTGGTAGATAGCTCCACACTTGCAACCTAGTCCTGCAGAGTGCACCATAGTTGCCTAATCACAATGCTAGTACACATCACCAGAGTTATGTTTGTTTTCTGATCATGTTGACAGCTGAAAAGCTGGACAGCTGGAAAGCTCCAAAGCAATATTTATAAATGTGCCTCAAATATTATCCTAATAACTAATATCTTTCTCTAAATCTAAAAACAGCAATTCCAACAACTTCAGTTCAGAGTTGGTGAGAAAACTGAATGCTAATTACAGGTAGTCCCCGACTTACGATCAATTGAGCCCAACATTTCTGTTACTAAGTGAGACATTTGTTAAATGAGTTTTGCCCTGTTTTATGATTTTTCTTGCCACGGTTGTTAAGTGAATCACTGCAGTTGTTGTGTTGGTAGTACAGTGGTCTAAGGCACCCTGTTATTAAGCTGGTTATTAAGACCAGCTGCCTGCAATTACTGCAGGTTCGAATCTCGCCAAGGCTCAAGGTTGACTCAGCCTTCCATCCTTTCTAAGGTAGGTAAATTGAGGACTTGAGAAATTGAGTTGTGGGGGCAATAAGCTGACTTTGTATAAATATACAAAAGAATGAAGGCTATTGCTTAGCGCATTGTAA